CAATTTAAAACCGAAACATGAAATATATGTACGACAATAAAATGTTGTTTTAACAATCAGGGCCAGGGCCATGTTAATGCAGTGACACTGCAAGAAAGTGGTTGATGAAAGAAGGCCATTTGATTGTCAGTGCGACCTTTAATTATTTTACAGACGCTTCACTTAGCAATCATTTCCTCCCAGTTATGAATCGATGTGAGACATATTAGTTTAACTCTTCGCAAAATTGCTGATACTACGACGTAAAGCTATGACGTAAAGATCACCAACTATGATAAAAATGACCTGTCATGATCAAATCACAACGTTTATACTCCAGTTCAATATAGAACGTCAGTGCAAAAGAATAGCCAGTATTGACTATCCTAAGAAACAAATAACCTTTGGTGTAAAGGGAAAATAGCTGTGACAATGATATGAATTGATGACAAATGGGTGATATTGTCCTGCCCTACCGGTAGCAATCGCCATTCACAAAAATTGCTTCATAATGTAAGTGTGTTTCGTCTGATGAAACCCTGGCCAAGCAGCCTGTAAACAAAACAGATTGCCAGATGGACCAGATTGCGAATTACGACTGCAGATCGGACTGTAGATTCTGATCCTTATAAGTTAAGAAAAAAACATTTCGGATATAGATTTGTTTACAACACATTAGGGTTATTAAACCCTAAGCAAACGAAATTTTTCAAACATACAAGGGGTCAAAAGCTGGGTTAATCTGGAATCCGAACCTAATGCTCGGTGCTGGTACTCAGTGTTTCACTACAAGGTGCCAGACATCGATCTCAAGATCACGTATGGTCCAGGAATTAATACGACCATTAATATTTACATGATTGTTCATATATTTACAAACAATAATGGGAGCAAGGACAAGTGTTTTCTCAATCCTGTTCGGCGGTGTGTAAATTATATCAGGGTGATAGAGGTGTTTACACCAGCCGGACATTCATCGACCGCATTGTTATGTTAGTAGATGAGGGCTATTCGTGTCCTAGAATGACCAGCTATAATCAGAGGCAATCGATGACAGGTGGTAAGCATCTGTGATCGGCTGATGTACCAAATATGATCATCGCAGCAATAAACATAATAATCATCAGTACGTGCCATATCCTATATACTTATCATATGAAACGCGATGTGCTAGTCACTCTTAATTTTTATATGTATTTATATATGTAAACAATCGAGACACTGAAGGTTTTATTTAACTTTGGAAAATATATTCAATCTTTTAATAAATGACCTTGTCAAAATATGAATAAAGGGAAGTAACTCTTGACAGTGCAGTTACCGATTTAACCTTACATCAGTGTGTATTATGTGTGGCGCTATTGATCGAAACTCAGACTGATAGAAACGTGATCTCCGTGTACAGTAGCAAGTATGTCTGTATATACAGCGTGTTAACCTTTTCTCGTGAAGCTCTGTTCCATGAACTGATTATAAGAGTACAGCTCCTACAAACTCATCGTCCAGAAGGATGGTTGAATGAGTGAGTGAGTGAAATGGTTTTACGCCGCTTTTAACAATATTAAAGCAATATCACGACTGGGGACACCAGAAATGGGCTTCACGCATTGTATCTATGTGGGGAATCGAACCCGGGACTTCGGCGTGACGAGGAACGCTTTACCCACTGAGCTAGCCCACCACTCCCAGAAGTGTGAAGTTGGTGGTCTACGTTTCGAGCATGGAGAAAAACTAGTATCTCAGGAGGACACCTTGAGGCATGAGGTATGAACAAAGGCGTGTTTACTATGAGCGAGTGTGATTTTACGCCACCAAAACAATATTCCTGTATAATTAGGGACATCTGGATGTGATACTAAAGTGCAGGGTAACATATTCAAACTAGTTAACAATCAGTAATAACTTAACAAAAGGCGATGCTATTCATTGAATAAATAACTTCTGGGGTACTTTTGAAATAATCGGGACAAATTAAATCCTAGGATCCCCCAAAATTTACAGATGTCCTGTTGCGTACACGTGCACGTTCCTCGCAGTAAAAATGGGTTACGGTTTCCACACTGAATAGTGTCCACATGAACAGCTTCACTGCTGATATTCAACATAGAATGTGCACAATGTTGAACGTAGGGGTAGGGGTAGCCTAGTTGTTAAAGCGTTCGCTCGTCACGCCGATGACCCGGGTTCGATTGGTGAAATGGGTACAATGTATGAAGCCCATTTCTGGTGTCCCCCGCCGTGATATTGCTGGAATATTGCGAACAGCGGCGCAAACCCATACTGACTCACTTCAGTGTTTTCTGAAAGAATGGATTATAAACGATGCGTATTTTTCGGAAAGCATATTGATCACCATTGTATATGCCTGACAACTAATTATATCATGTGTGTAATTGTGGTTATACCCTACTTACAGCATGCACCACGCCAGGACGATTGACAAATACAACTGATGCTTGTCATGAGTGAAATCCGTTCTCGTATGAATGATCGGCCTTCACTGTCACGATCACTGTTACAATATCAATGAAACTTTGCAAAATAGATCTTTTAATAATGCAGATTCAATTCAGTGCAGTTATGATATCATGCTCAATTATTCCGTTGGAGCATAGAGTGGAGGTACTTTGATGTTGGAACCAATTATCTAAATGCTAATAATAACAACAATTAGGAAATTAATTACAAGAAATGAGAACTGTATTGGCGAATGACGATAATGATACGGCAGTGCTGTAATGATGTGGCTATGTGTCAACGATTTTCTGTCTTCATCTTGAACACAGGGTAAGACTAGACATCATGAGTGGGTGTGTCACTCAGTCAGTAAAGGTTGCCTTAATCATTATCAGCAATTTCGCAGCTACTCGCAGCTCGAATGACAAATAACGTTTTCTGTAATTTGGCATCATGTGTTAGCATTCGAGAAGCATGTGTTAGCATATCAAACAGTTCATTCACGTAGTGAGGCTGTGTTAAGTTAGACATTCACGTGCTGAAGCGGTCTGAGGTTAGACATTCACGTGTTAAGACTGTGTAAGATTAGACATGTACGTACTGAGACGGTAAGATTAGACATTCGCGTGCTGAGGCGATCTGACGTTAGACATTCACGTGTTAAGACTGTATAAGATTAGACATTCAGGTGCTGAAGCGTTCTGAGATTAGACATCCACGTGTTAAGACTGTGTAAGATTAGACATGCACGTACTGAGACTGTAAGATTAGACATTCACGTGCTGAGGCGATCTGAGGTTAGACATTCACGTGTTAAGACTGTATAAGATTACACATTCACGTACTGAGGCGATCTGAGGTTAGACATTTTCTTGTTAAGATTGTGTAAGATTAGACATTCAGGTGCTGAAGCGTTCTGAGATTAGACATCCACGAGTTAAGACTGTGTAAAATTAGACATGCACGTACTGAGACTGTAAGATTAGACATTCACGTGCTGAAGCGGTCTGAGGTTAGACATTCACGTGTTAAGACTGTATAAGATTAGACATTCACGTACTGAGGCGATCTGAGGTTAGACATTTTCTTGTTAAGATTGTGTAAGATTAGACATTCAGGTGCTGAAGCGTTCTGAGATTAGACATCCACGAGTTAAGACTGTGTAAAATTAGACATGCACGTACTGAGACTGTAAGATTAGACATTCACGTGCTGAAGCGGTCTGAGGTTAAACATTCACGTGTTAAGACTGTGTAAGATTAGACATGCACGTACTCAGACTGTAAGATTACACATTCACGTGCTGAGGCGATCTGAGTTTAGACATTCACGAGTTAAACTGTGTAAGAGTAGACATTCACATGCTGAGGCGATCTGAGGTTAGACATTCACGTGTTAAGACTGTATAAGATTAGACATTCACGTACTGGGACGTTCTGAGATTCGACATCCACGTGTTAAGACCGTAAAATTAGACATTCACGTGTTTAAACTGTGTAAGATTAGACATTCAGGTGCTGATGCGGTCTGAGATTAGACATTCACGTGTTAAAACTGTGTAAGATTAGACATTCACGTGCTGAAGCGTTCTGAGATTCGACATCCACGTGTTAAGACTGTAAGATTAGACATTCACGTGCTGATGTACTGTGTAAGAAAACATTGACGTGCACTGTGTAAGATAATACTGTGATGTGGCTGTGAATATCAAGCATGTAATTAAAGAATCACTGCACGTAATTGAAGATTTAAAAGCAACAGATTAAAAACATTTAGTTGCAACAAATCAGTAAATTAGCTACGATAGCTACACGAACACGTGCAGACACCTAGTTACGGGTATAGTAACGTGCAATATCACTGGACAAAATACTGTGACTATGTGTCCCAGTTCACCCTGCTGCAAATGGCTACCTTGTGAGGATGAGGCTGTGTGATAACTCGCTGCGCTTAACAGGATGCATGAGCTGAACACTCCCCAGGGAGTTGAGTGGGTTAAAAGAATGCCAGAAAAAAAGGTGATCAAGGGAACACTTAAGCGCCTTGAGCATGTACTAGTTGCGTGAATATGTGCTCTATATAAATATCCTATAGGAATAAAAAATAAATAATAAGAACTAAATTCTTACAGGATTACCGCTTCAGTAATGGATTGTTTACATGCAGGATCACTGTTGTGGGCGTCAGGCTGCACATCTTTTTCTCTGGGGCAGACTTTGTGATAGGTTATCCCATCATCTAATGTGTAGGTGAATGTGGTCAGAATGTCAGTGAAACGTTCATGGTCTTTCCAAACTGATACCCATCCCGTTACATTATTGTTGTAAATTCAAGACAATGGATTGCCATCGATGTTCCTGATGTTGATCAATGGATTTTCTGGTCCAGACCCGATTATCTACAGACCACCCTCATATACCTGGGATATTGCTGAGGGCGACAACAAATAAAACATAATAAATCTTATGTGACAGATCCATGTCATGGATCATGGATCGCCTGATACTCGAACCTCTTTATTTCATGAGGCAGTACAGTGTATGTATATTGCAAAATTCTTTGATTCAAAACATTTTTATTGACCAAAATACTGTGAATGAATCACACAGTACAATACCATGGACCAAGAGGAGAGCAGTTACACGTGGCAGTTCGTGGAATAAAAGTCGTGATGTTATATAAAGGCACAGTAGGCACCACGAGGAATACTGTACACTTACACACTACGGCACAGGAATGCAATTTCATTTAAAGTACAAACTGCTTCAAACTTCCTTTGATTGTCATACCATCTAAAGTGTTTCAGAAAAATCATGGTGCGGTCCTGAACCAGTTAGGTTTCATTTTCTTATAAAGTTAAACTCTTCCTCGATGTATAGTAAGTTCAAAGTATACAAGAAACGTACATGTGTTACTTATGTAAATCACATGTCAAATCATTAAACCTTGAATCCTCGATAACCAGGACTGTACTGCCCCTAGTAAAACAACGTGTATTAACAAATGTCCAGATTACTAAGCATGGACTGTTGGCAATGTCCTTGTCTTACTGGCCTCCAGGGTTTCGGTCTACAAAGGTTCAGAATGCCGAGATGCCACTGTAATACGAATCCCACTTCCTCACAGGATGAACGATGAATGAAAGTTGACACCTGGTATCTTCACTGGTTGCATTGAGTGATACACAGAGGATGTTGTGAACGCGTGACGCTGGACCGAAGCAAGTTTTGGGAAACGTAACACCAGTTTTCTTAGATCATTCTTACTCAGTACACTTCCATAAGTCCATGAAAGCCCTTATCAAATACTAGTAATGTTCACTGGTTGAGTGTATTCTCCTTGATGTGGTTGAAGTTGTGTAAAATCTCAATATATTGTAATATTTACACTACATATTGTTCGTATACATCAATCGGGCACGTCTTGGATTGGTCATTAAAGAACATTATACTAGAATTCTACATTTTTACACAAAATGAGAATAAGACAATTCATACTTGCGTTCTAGAACCCTTCAGGTAATATTGTTCTTTCAGGAAAGTAAACGTGAAGGCTGGAACAACCCTTTGGGGCCTAGAGGAAAGACGATAAGACATACAGATAGGAAGTTATTGCACATTTCGAACAGAGACAAAAATACAATGAAATATTCGTGTGAAGATATCGGAAAATAGTCTCTGTTGCAGTCTCTGACAATAGAAAGTGTACAGTACAAATGAACATACATTACTTACAGATTTACCTATTTTGTTATGTCATCCTTGTTAAGTTCTCGACTTTCACCAACCTGTTTTGCTCATATCTAATGATGTGTTGGAGCCAGTTACTATCGTTGTTACGTTTATCAGACACAAACAAAACCAGCCCGTTCGATAGTATGCCATGCAAATGTAGAATCGATTGTTGTAATTCCATTGGTACAGGGTAATTCAGATTTGTACAGGAACCTTTGCCCGATATGCTGGATAATACCAGCTAAATCTGAAGCAACTAACAGTCACATTGGTAGAAAAGTCTTTCAGTCAGTTTCATGAGCGTAATGACATGATGATGTATGATGTCCAATAGCCGATGTTGAATATGATGAATGATACTGGAAAAAGGAATCTTGAAATCTTCTCTAATCTCCTGCCGTAATCTTGCCGACACATGAATGGTAACCTGACTCTGTCCCTAGACGTGGGGGATTCATCGGAGGATTCCTTGTCAGCATCCGTTTTAATGACACTGACGCCATTTTCTTTCACATCTGAGGATCTTGTTCTGCTAGATATTGTACTCACTTTCGGCTCAGTCTGAAACAAACATTAGAATACTTCCATCTCAATATACGTGTGCTCGGGGTTTTCGCTACAATATCTGAACAATTATCTTAAATCAACACATGTTTCATTTGGGATTACACTTCTACAGATTTCTAGTTTTTTTATTGGGTTGAGTCTCATCCGTGATTCGAACCCACACCCTCAGAGTCAGGAACCTAATCGCCAGCACACAAATTCAACCGCCTAACCCGTTCAGCCACCGCGACTTCCACCAATGGAAGGCGGACAACTGGTAGTCTAGACCACGGACTTTGTGTACCACTCTGATGAGTGTGGCATTGTGTATTCATATTTTAAATCAGATATTTTTTTCAGAATATTCAGCATGCCCAGCGAATAATTATTTGGTTATTTATATTCAAAAGTATGTGTTAAAAATCATGCTGTTAAAAACAAACTGATATCTCATTAGATGACATTGTATCTTGTTATTGGGGTACTAAGATTTATCAATGTCACAAATAATCAATACAGTTTTAATCACAACCCTCTAATCCGTTGTTGTTGGCACGCGATTCACATTTGATTAATTCTGCCGTCATCATTGTAATACAAAAACTTTTCATGAATGGCTAAATCGAACGTCTTGTCGTGCAATCAAGGTGAGAAGAAAATCAATTTCTCTCAGTAGATATAAACCAAAGCCCAGTTCACAGGAATTGACGCTTTGCAGACATATCTCTCCCATCGGTAGGTCAGCCTTCACCTGTGTTAGATATAGTTGATTTCTTGCTATGGCTATAGACCAATTGTCCAAATCTCTGTAGTGATCATCAATCGAAATGTTCTTTGAGTGACATATTTAGAAGTTGGAGAATCAGATAAGGAGAAGCTTTATGGATATACGATTTCTTTATTTAGGTGATGTGACGTTTCGATACAGATTCTTGTATCGTTGTCTTGCTTAACGATACACGAATCTCTATCGAAACGTCGGATGGCTTGAATAAAGAGGTTGGTTAGACATGAAGTTTCACCTTACAATCAATATGGCAAGTTCATGACTGAAAATTCCAGTGTATTTCATAAAAACTGTACCACCAGTACATCTGTCATCTCCCACAGTTAAATGCGTATTTGCAAGTCATGGATCATAACCTTTTAATAATGTCAACAAAGTGCGAATAGGTAATCCATAACTCGTAGATTTATTCCTTCACAATATTTAACCTGACGGGGCGCGCGTATAATAGCATATGTCCTGTATATAGATTACTTATAAGGATTCGGATAAGTTGCCATCAGATATTACTTGTACGGCAGACATTACACAAGAAAAGCAAGATTTATGGATGTCAACTTCGTTATTGTGAATAACACGACGTTTTGGAGTGTATGCTTGTTTCACCACACGATGAAGGGACGCAAGCATACACTCCAAAACGTCGTGTAATTCACAATAACGAAGTTGACATCCATAAATCTTGCTTTTATTATGTATCCCACTTCTAAATGCCCTTCAAAGATTAGACATTACACAGTCCGTGAACACGTTATCAGCCCAATATTTGAGGTACGCCATTGGTGACGAGGGTTTGAACGTGCTCCACTTCGGTGACTATGGTGCTGACAAACCAAGATTAAAAAATGGGATTCGAACCACGACCGTAGGAATATGAGGACCCAATTGAATATAGAATACAACACATATCAGACAGTACAAGCAGTGCAGTATTGTGCAGGTGTAGGACAGACGGGCCTTGTCGCAAACACTTTATGTCTTCACTGTTGAAATTATTAATATATATTGAAGGGGAACACTTTTCATAATAATTTGCTTGACACGTCGCATCAGTTGCAATAAAGACGTCTATCCATAAAAAGTGTTCCTCTTCATCATAGCAGCTTCTAAATGCCACTTAAAAATATATATTTATATATTATTATCAATATTATTATGATATGTGTATTAGGTTTCACGCCTATTTCCTTTACGGTCTTATTCCTGATTAACGTTTTAGTTTCAACTTAGGAATCAACACGCAACAACAATAATCACGAAGGGATTGTACGATGGAAAACATTTACGTACTGATTTATGGCTTTGCAAGAGTATCATGGCTTTCTTGTATCTCCGTGTGAGGACGGCTGCCACTGCGTACTCCATGTATGACGCGAACACAAATATGAGGCACGTGGACATCCATACGTCGATGGACTTGACGTATGGAACTTTAGGGAGCTGTGAGAGGGCCCCGGAACTCTGCGTAGTGATCGTAAGTACAGTGAGTAGGCCGACAGAGATGCGCGCCGGAACTGCTTCATGGTCGATCCAAAACGAGGCCCACGATAACATGACGATAAGCATCGTAGGTATATACGTTTGGATCATATAAAAGCCGATCTCCCTCCTCAAAGTAAGTTCTGCGTAGATGCAAGGGAACGCACCTGAAACATTATTTATATGAAATGAGTGAGTGAGTGAGTGAGTTTTACACCGCCTTTAGCTATATTTTAGTAATGTCACGTAGGACTATCTATATATGATATGGTAGCTGAAATAATTAATACTACTACGACGACGACAACGACGACGACTACTACTACAAGTTTCGCGAAAAGGTGAACATATCCTGTCCCACTTCAAAACAATTTCTAGTCATTTAATTTTTAGCGCATTTGAAGGAAATTAAAAAATATGATAAATTGTAGATTTAAATTCTGAATGTCAGTTTTTACTGTTTTCTGTGATGGTTTACTGAAGTTTTATTGATCTTCGTCATCACGTTTATTCTATATTCGTTTCTATAGGAAAATATCTGTTGTTCTAGCCGCGAATAGCGAATATTGCTGATGCGGCATAAAACAACATTAATTCACTGACTCACTCACTCACTCCTGTCCCACTAGTGGCACTCGTCACAAACACATACAGAGGCAAGGCGGTTTCACTTCAAGAATCACAGGAACATAATGGTCGTCATGGGGAATTGCATGATCAGGCGCGTATCAAGCCAATTTTTTCGTGTAAGCCAGAGAGGTTACAAAGCTTTGTATTTAAATAGTATTGAGGGCTTGCCCAACTTTCATGGTGATCTTTAGCAAAAATAAGCCCGTGCTTTTTATATAATGGCAGCTACGCCCCTGATGATGTTTAATGTTGTCACTGAAGATTCAGATTTGGAATCATGTAGGTTCCTTTGATACCTTTTGAAAATTGTTGGGGCAGTGGTGTAGCCTACGTGTTAAACAGTTCGAGGTCACGCCGAAGGCCTAGGTTCGATTCCCCAAATGTGCTCAGCCCATTTAAAGCCCATTAAAAGCCGTTATATTGCTAGAATATTGCTAACAGCGGCGTAGAAATAAGCTCACTCACTCACACACTCATTGATGTTGTAACTAAAGCATGTCCCCAATACCTGTAGCGTATCCCGTGCTGCAGGAAGTGGTGTTGACCCCGACAACTTGGAAGTCTGGGAGATAGGCTTCCGGAAGTACGTCAACCGTCGCACGTGACGTGGACCACTCGAGCTGCAAATCCTCCAGCGTGTGTCCGTCTGAGGGTAGTGAAAACAAACTCGTTTACACGTTCGAAATATATACCCGCTTCACTTATGTTATTTATATGCAACGGCTATTATAGAGTCGAAATTATATACCCGCATCACTTACGCTATTTTTCATTCAGCCGCCAATATAGAGAAAGACGCTTACGTCTGATAATAAAAAAACCCACATCTGATTGATTTTATTGTCTTCATGAGACGCACCTTTGGTGCGTCATGCTTTTGATGTATTTTGTTCGTCTACTTCAACGGACAACAGCGACACAATACAACCACAGAACATGAAGATCAGCGTATGTAAGAGGCAAGAAGTGATAAGGTGAATATCGATTCACAGTTATGACTGGATGCGACGAGTTTATCTTTAACCGGCGTTCTAATGGTTTACCAATATTGTCTTAACTCTTTCGGATTTATGAAAAATAGTTTCAGGGGATCAATTCTGCCTGGTTTGTGTGAGGACTGTTAGTTAATGTTATGGACATTTTGTATAACATGCAAACTATCATGATACTATACAATCAATGATATTTGAAAATATCTACTTCAAGTATATGGAAATGGTATTATACAGTTTCTTTTTAACTTAAACACGGTTTAGATTCCGCGTTAAAACAGGTACATAGCAACCAGATAGCATGTCGATGACGTAAACCCGGAACATTTGCTGCGTGTGGTGTAAAATAACGATAGACAAACAAACACTGTAACTAACACATCTATTACAAATCTGAATTATTTCGAGAGGAAGTCATTTCATTATTATAATCGGTTTATAATCATTTTTTATATTCCCCACATGGACACAAGGTGTGAAACCCATTTCTGGTGTTCCCCGCCGTGATGTTGCCGGAATATAAGCGGCGTAAAACTAAAGTCACTTACTCACTTAGAGATAAGGCCCTTCAAGTGGAGTTACCGTGAAGGCATTTTCAATCAAACAGCTACGCGCAAGTGCAGGTTACGTTAGCTCCACACTGCCAGCACACTGAGATACGATGTCGCACTTGACTCAGACACATAATACCAACTCCGACCCGACAAGTCCTGGCTTTGCCCCTTATGCAATTCGCCTAACAAGTACAATCGTGTAACGTGTTTTGGTATGACGTGACTAGGTAACTGATCGACCGACCTCCCAAGTTCTCAGTGACGGTATGACCTTAAACCTAAAATGCGGGCTAGCTCTCATTATATGAGCAAGTTTGGTCTTTTGCGCATCGAACATAGCTTCAGTTATATCTCTAAGTATTAATGGGACTGGTAAACATTAAGTGAGATAGGCCAGACACCCTCACCACAAATCTTTTGAAAAAATGAACACGGGTATGACGTCCTCACACCATGCCCAATATATGCTGAACACTTGAACCAACGCTAGAGTATCCTGGCACGTCGGGGGTATGCAACTCTGCACAGAGCCCGACGCTGATTACATCATATACAGCAATTGGAGGCTTGAAACTCTAGATCACAACTTACAGGATCACAACTTACAACTTTCAATCTGTATCTTACACCTCTGCACGTCAAGAGGGAAGTTTTCCAGAGCCATTAAACATCGAAGTCGGAGGGTGAGCCTGCAAGTACAACCATACAAACATGACGAGGAACCGTCGCCTGTACACAACACTGGGTGGTGTCTGGGCTGGGCATGTGACATATCTGTGATACAGTTGTCTTCTTTACTGACCATAAAAGCAACTAACGACACAAACATTCGGTAATATTACGTATAGAACTGATTTCACTTCAACATCAGTTGGTGTCTATGAAGGTTTCCCAAAACTAGAGGAACCTTCGTTACCGAACAACCTCTCAGTGGAGTATTGCCCGCTAGCTGATGCACAGTAAGTGCAAAGTTGTGGGTGCTGGGTTAATATTGTTCTCTCTCCTGAGGGGCGACTTATGCAATGACGGTCGCAGTAGGGCGCGGTGTAGACGAGGCTTCCCGTGGTTCCTTTAAATGTCCTTCGTTACATGTAACTTAAACGTTGCTAGAAATTGCCTGTTTATAAACAGTAAGATATTAGGGACAAAATCCATTTTTCATATCCATAAGAAGCAGGGGAGCAGGGTTTGTGGAATATAAAAGACAGCTAATTATTAGGGCTGTAACGATGCATCGAACTATCGATGGATTGCAATTGTTGAGTCTCTCTCCGATAGCAATTAATCGAAGGAAGAAAAACTATCGACGCATCAATAGTATGGGTGACTATCGATAGTTTTGTAATTGACTTCCGTTGATAAATGCGCAGCGCAAAATACAGAAAGTACCAGAGCTGGGTTTCAAGTTTTTTGTCGGTTATTAGAGAGGTTGAGCAGTGCTACGTGTACATGCATATGTACACCTACGTGTGGTCAGGGGATTCCCCTAAATACCTGTGTATTACGTCATCACTATTTGCTGACCTGTCACGATACAAGTTCCCGCTGTCGCCTACTTCGAAGGATACACGTAAGTGAAAACTTGTGAGCTTGTTTTAAAAACCATCTGAATAGACTGTTGTATTGTTAAGATAGTGTGTTAAAATAAGTATGAAGGTATCATCCAGTAATAAATTAGTGACCAGTTTCTGTGAAATATAACGCGTTTTTTGCCGTATTCTAGACTCGAGATTTAACCTATCGCTAAAGGAAGGTCATCATTAGAATCGTTGATATTAAATATTTATCATGAGAGTATGTTCCAGACATGTGTCTTCATGAATACTTTCGTATTTCAGTATGGCACACCGCAAAACGCAAGTCAGGTTTTCTGAAAAAGACGATGTCAAATTGCTGAGGGAAGTCTTGGCTGCCAACCCGTTCAAAGACGGCAATAAATGATATTTAACATCAGATTCTAATCATCATATGCATTTACTCTATAGCCTATAGTATGGCTATGAAATTTGAATTAAAACGTAGATCAGTTAAAATCCGCCGCTAATATAACAAAAACCGTCCAAATCTATTTACTTATATTAATATTATTTTTTTCTAAATCTACGCATCGACGCAATACACTTTGAAAAATGCAAAAGAAGCGGTTGTAAAAAGAGTACTGCAAGTTTTCACTAGGACATTTATGATTAAAACTTTACATTAAATTTGAAATAACTAATTAATTCAAGTTAAATTAAATAGGAAATCTTAGAGTAATCATTTTTCGATATTTAAAGTTTAGTTGATCATTACAATATCACACCTCTGATAATAATTATTGTTTTCCAGCTCTGGCAACACTGAGGAATATGATGAAAAGATTGCTCTCTTGGACGAAATAACAGAACTCAAGGAGGAAGAGGATAGGAATCGTGAGGAGGAAAAGTCTAAGAAAATTGCGATTGAGAATAAAGGGAAAGAAATCAGAAAGTGGGCTATGGAGGGTATGAGTAAAGGTTGGTGATTCTTTCCTGAATATAAAATATAAAATCTGAAACATCTGAATTAAGGTGAAATTACGCAAAGAAACAATGGTTTATCGATGTTTTTGTTCTTGTAGGGTCTTAAATATGTATTTGTGTTCTATAACTCCAGATCACTCGGATGAGACAACCCCTACTAAGAGGAGGAGTAGTACCAGCGGACTAGACTACCTCAATACTAAGTGAGAGCAGGAGGCAGAGCTGAGAAGACAAGAACTGGATATGAGGAAGGAGGAACTGAAACTTGAGAGAGAAAGATATGAGGAGGAGAGAGAAGACAGAGAATGGAGCTGGAGAGCAAAGAAAAGACAGCGTTGTTTGAACTCTTACAAAATGTATTAACAAATAATTATTAAGAACAAAATGTACTACACATTCAGGAGAATGAATGTGTAACTTGAACTATACATGTAACAGATTTGCATTGAATAAGTATACAAGACATTGGAATACAGTTATCTTTACAATCAATATTTCACTACCAGGGGCATAGCTAGCGTATTCGCAAAAGGAAATTGCCTACACATAATTGCTGTAACATTGAAATCACTCTGTCTTAATATCTGGTGTCTCCCGCCGTGATATTGCTGGAATATTGCTTAAAGCAGTGTAAAACCATACTCACTCACTCTACATGGAAGCACAGGTCTCAAACAGTTATAATCTAGTTTAGGTGTGTATGTATTCTTGAAGTGATGGTGGATCGAGCTGAAGGAAAGAGCTAGTTTCACTTCCATACAGGCAGGTGTGGCAGTTTGTAATGATAACAGTAACTTTGTAGTATTTACCAACTGGCTGCAAATACAGTTTTTGGTTCTTCTTGAAATCTAGAAATGCAAATAGTGTGAGCAACTTGCCAAAAGTCCACTCAACACAGACTCTGACGGCTGACATCTTCTTGTTGAATAGAGCTTGATTAGCTGTTATCACGCCTCCTCTGTATGGCGCTATTATGGAAGGTGAAATTGGATACGCTGGGTCACCATATACACAAAACACATCATTGTTTCGAAGTGTCATATTCTCTGACATGTCCTTTTCAACCTCGCTTTCTCTCAACATACCAGCATCATGGCGTCGGCCTTCAATGGGGCCATAAAAATGGGCTATCATTCCATTTGGTGTTACTATACTCTGGTACTTCAAACCATGTACACGTTTATGTCCATTGAAAACGAATTTTTGGTTTTGTTGAGGCCGGCATATCGGTCGACAGTACCATCAATAAACCCCCAGCAGTTAGTGAGAGGTGAACCTTGGTTATGAATGGATCGAGACATATCTTCCAGATGATCATGTGATAGCCAAGGTTTGTCCAGATTGTCTAGTAAATGACTGTGCATGTCATAAATGTAATTTAAAACAGTATTAAAAATGTGTGACAATTCTGAAGTCGATCTGCCAAAAAGTGCTTCAAGTCTTCAAGCCGATTTGGATAAGAGAGCTCGAGTCTTCTAAGGAGAATACACAGACCATCAATGCCTGAACAAGTTGTACGATTCGAGCAGTGGAATTGGTCAGGTAGCAGTAGGGTTTCTTTAAGTGTGAATATATCTTCTCTAGTAAATCTGAAGCACTTACGGCACTGATCGTCATTGAGTTCATGTAATTTGATATATCTGTCAGATAAAGTATCATCTTCTTTCAAAGCAGAAAGCAACAAAAGATCATCGTTATCTTCCACGGCAGCCAAGAGATTTATATTTGCCGCCATTACTAACTTAATTCACACGATTGTAAGCGTGTTACAGACTTGTTTAAGTCGGACAATTTGACCAATCAAGAGTCGTTTTACATATACCAGCACATGTACCCGTACACGTAAGATTTACTCACGGTCACTAAAGTTTGGTAGCGTGTACGCGTTCGTGTACGTGTAAAGTACACGTAGGCGTACATGTACACGTAGCGCTGCTCGACCTCCCTATTAAAAGCTGAAACTACTTCAGCTTGTTTTTATTTCATATAAACTATACATTCATTTGGGAAATGACTTCAAAACGAGACAATTCAAGGAGAAAAACAACTTTTGCAATAGTATTGCAATAATGGGTCGCAATAGTCTATCGCCATCACCATAGTATGTTGCAATAGACTATCGCTATCGCAATAGTTGTTTTCCCCTCAATAGTCACCCCTACTAATCATGTTCCTTCACGCGATAGATACGTTTACTCATACTGCTGTACGAGGCTCGTTCAAAAAGTAGTGAGCCTTACTATATTCTGTTTGAATGTTTGAAAAACATCCACATTATTATGAAGGAATCATTAGCAAAGCCATATCCAAAATCATACATATGTGCGTAATGTGATTAACGAGATATTAGTCATCACAACACATTCGGTTATAATCGGTCTTTAAAAATAGCAGAAAATTAAAAAACGATCTGTCATTTGGTACCTCTTGGGTAATTGTATGTTCTCAGATAATAACATATAAAATATGCTCAGTACAGTATTGGATGACTTCCGGTCATAATCGACATTCAAAGATTTGGATTGCTTGATTTATATTTAGACGGGGGCCCCCGTGTAATCTTTCAAAAACATTGTGTCCAGATATTCGAATTCAAGCTGGCACTGTTTACAATATATTGAGAGTTGACACTTGTGTGACCATTCAGTAATTCCTTTGAACCCTTGGCATCATGTATGAATAAGTGAAAACATTAGAATAAGTTATGTCCTTATGATTACGTCATCTGAGAGGGGGTGGGTAGTGTCTCCAAACAAACTCTTTCAGTAAACATGGGTGGGGGTGTGGGTGTGGGGGTGTGGGTGTCACTTTAACAAGCGGTTGTAATTTCAAATTGCTTATTTATGCACTTTAATATCTAAGTTTGATTCTAGCGAATGTCTGCCTATCTCAAACACAAAAATGTTTCTTCTATATTTCCTGAAGTTTGTGATGCATATATTGCAGATTTTGCGTTTTTCGGAGGTACCAAAATAATAAGTCAAATAAAATGGGGACCGTGAGGCTGGATCATAGCAAAACCAATTTGTGTAAGGTTGACAGATAATATGTAGAAAACAAAAACATAAAAACAGCTGCATTTGTATGCATTTTCTATGAGAGGCTGACTACTATTTGAACGCCCCTCGTACTGCTGACGTTAGCGGAAAGGGAGTTCCGCTGTGACATATAACCGGCCACCCGTTAGAGCAGATCTTCCAACCTTCGGCTGGTAATGTTTAACATAACACAGTTCTAGTGTACTGCCAATCTGATCTCTGTCTGATATACACTCCACTTGTCTCGAAATACGGATAAGTCGATAAGTATCAGCACTCTGATAGTCTGATAGTGTACCTGTGACTGTAGAGTATGCTGCCATCAGGAGACAGGCGTATGAGGACGTTGGGCGTCGTTAGGTCGTGACTGCGTTCCTCCTTGGCTTGAGGAAAGAAGAGGTCTGGCACCCACAACTGTGAAAGACGTTTGTGACTGACAACGATGCTGGTGTTGAAACTGTCAAAGGAGAGACGCGGGTCCCTCCACTCTTGGCGCAGAAATAACGTGGTGTAGAAATCCTGAAATAAACATAGAATTGGTCAACATCACGCCCCTTTCGGAATTGAATTTTCAGTTTTATCGCTGGATTTTTTAATAGAAGCGACAAAACCCGTTCCTCATTCATAAGAAATCTCTGCCAAAAGCAGAGTCGATTGTACAATTGTGACTATACCATGAGCAGATATTTGTTTCAGCAGTATTACAGCTGTACGATGTTGTTTGTAAACAAATCGGGACACTCCAGTGATTGTCGCCATTCGATACGATGACAGAGCATGTGTTTATGAATCACTATGAAATAGTGATGATACCGGGTCTTCGCGAAAAGGTGAGCGTATCCTGCCCCACCGGTGGCACCCGTCATAAACATATGCAAAGTCTTGTCAGTTGTTCATCTGAAATAATTCGGGAACGTATGGTACAAGTCAAAATAGGAATTTGCATCGGACATCATTTTTGTCACTGGTGCATGAAAATTGGACAAGGAAGGTATCGAGAAAGGTTGGGTTGGATGGGGTAAGGGGTGAGGACGGGGAGGGGTTAAATATGGAGTAGGTATCAGTGGTACAGGGTACTCTATCATGCAGACAGGCCAGTATGGTTGATAGATCGATTCTCATGGTGTCAATCAATGGATTGTCTGGCCTACATTTGATTATTTAGCTTATAGCTGGAACACTGTGCGGCGTTAAACAACACACAAACAAATGAACGGAACACAAACAATACTATGATATCTATACAATATGTCTGAGTCTTCAACATGAATGCATTATGTAGGAAATGTGTCTCAGAGATGATTGAAAACAAGAGCAGACATGCATGATTACGGTCATAGATGTGCTTGTCACGATATCATATCATTCGTATAATTCATACTCATATATAAATATATTCATAATTATCAAGAGCAATCTTGTATGACAATAATTCATGACAGGTCCGCCGCCACATAGCTGGAAATAAATGTTGCTGAGTGCGGCATTAAACAACATAGAAACTCTACCAAGAAGGTATGTTTTCAATAGTAAAGGTATCGTATGGAATGACTGCAACAATAAAAGGTTCCATTTGAATAAGCATAAATATCTCGATAGTCTCAGTTGTTCAGTACACAGTATATCTATCTATCTATCTATCTATATCTATCTACCTACCTACCTATCTATCTATCTATCTATCTATCTATATCTATCTATCTATCTACCTACCTATCTATCTATCTATCTATCTATCTCTATCTATCTAATCTATCTATCTATCTATCTATCTATCTATCTATCTATATTATACATTCTTTTGTGGATTAATTGCAAACTAAAGCTTCATGAGATTTAAAGGTAATCTTAGGTCGTGTAAGGAAAATACTTCCACTGGCCTCACTGAATATATCCAGTACATTTGTAAGGAAAATACTTCCACTGGCCTCACTGAATATATCCAGTACATTTGTAAGGAAAATACTTCCACTGGCCTCACTGAATATATCCAGTACATTTGTTGTGCCTTCTTCTCGATGAGTATGTTAATTATATGTTCTAGCACTGCGCACAATAGCGATATAAATCTTCACTAATGGTCTGTCAGTATTATGCAGCTGTGCGACAAAGCTGATTTAGATCCGTTAAACGCATAGTGTTCACTGAGTCGATATGACTGAGTCAGGTCATTTCACATCCATGGAAGTAATCACTCGTGCCTACCATGTCAGAGTCATTTAGCGGCCCCAGTGACGTCATCAGCACGTCGATGTCCACCTTTGTCGGTGACCCTGTAAGTAAATGAACAGTGGTGGAACACAACGTCACACAGGTATATCAAGTATATACATATCAGCCTGACTGACTGACTGAGTTTGGTTTTACGCCGCTTTTAGCAATATTCCAGCAACATCACGGCGGGGGACACCAGAAATGGGCTTCACACATTGTGCCCATGTGGGGATTCGAACCCGGGTCTTCGGCGTGATGAGCCAACGCTTTAACCATTAGCTAGGCTACCCAACCGCCCCATATACATATCAGAGTGACAACAGTGACTGTAGAATGAATGTTCACCCCCTGTCGGCTATTTACAGTGTATGTTAACTGTGCTTAACTTACATTAACTTTTCCACTTATCTCAAAGATAAAAGACCTACAGTATATTGGGTTTATAGAACAGGCACGATACACTAGAAGTTTTCTTTTAGCCTTCTTCGCGATAAAATGATCAAACAATCAATATAATTTGAAAAATTATCCCCATGTCACACAGAGTGAACACTGATGAGGCCTTAAAGGCACAATGTCACACATTTTCGACAATAGTTTGGCCTATATGGTATATATTGGGGCATATGCACTCACTTGAGTCCATGGATGCAATAAAAGATTTATTATCCCTCACGACTGGCCTGGAATCGATAATTGAAACTTCGAGGCGAACAGCTTGCCATATATGGAATGTAAACAATTCTCCGTACATCGAAAACTGTCGCATGCGGTGTTGCCTATTTGAATCACAAGCCGTGCTGGGATATTCGTAAAAAGCGCTCCAGAGGACATAACTCTATGGGGGTTCGCTTGAAATAATGTTCGGCCGGTAGAGGGCGCGAGAGTCGATTTAATGTAACGTTGTTATAATTCATTCGAGTTTTTATTTTTAATATTGTAATCTAAATACGTATATTTTTTGGAATAAATTATATGGAAGCTTCCCTCAGGACTGATAGTATTATTGAGATAAATGCATTGTATGTTTTTGGAGAAGTGTGGTGTGAAATAGTACCTTTAAAGACTGACTGCACGTAATTAAAGATTTAACACCGTTTTTAGTTGGAACGAAACAGAAAATTAGCTATCGTGTTACAGGATTTCTGCTTCATTGAAGGATTGTCTTGTTTGTTCACAGGCAGCCTTCACACGCATGATTACTGTTGTGGAGCATTGTTTATTTTTGGAGAAGTGTGGTGTGTTATAGTGCCTTTGATGACATACGTTTGTTCACAGTAATGTAAGACGCCACCATACAACGTTCACTCGGTAATTCGAAGTCAACATCACTCATAGGAGTTTAATGATAACCGACCGGGTGTTGATAATCCCACCAGTCAGTTAAGGACTGGAACTGTCCACTGACCTGGGGTCACTTGTGGTCTGATGGTCGGATCATACACGGAGGCATCAAGCAGGCGAGTCAGCAGATACCGAACCGAGGTGTCGTTGGTTGAATAGGTTACTCTGAAACATTGGAAATAAAAGTATTTATTGTTTACCAGTGCTTGGGTCAACACTGATCATCACCCACTCACTGACTCTAATAAGGTGAATCGTCTCTTCTTTCCAGTATCTGTACAGGAAGGTACCTAGTTCAGATGAGATTTTCTTAAATTCTAAATTGAAACAGAACGACATGCAGGAATGGGTCAGCAAGAAATTATATGCAAAATTTGTACGACCTAATCCTTGGTCCCGTCTACCGTATTACCGTGAAATACACAATGCCATTTTAGAAAGTGATCAAATGTAACATATGTTGTATTTGGGATTACACTTTCTTAGTAAAGTACACACAGAAGCCGCAGTGGCTGAGCGGTCTTGTCGTCTGACTTTGTGTGCTGGCGATTAGGTGCCTGACTCTGAGGGTGTGGGTTCGAATCCCGGATGGGACTCAACCCAAAAAAGTACTAGAATCTGTACTTTACTAAGAAAGTGTAATCCCAAATATAACATATATTATACCGTAATACCGACCAATTGTATCCTTCTAAATGAGTCCAAACATATAAGTGATGTTGGTCACTGGATTGTCTGGTCCAGACTCGATTATTTACAGATCGCCGCCATATATTGCTGAAATATTGCTGAGTGGGGCGTTAAACACCAACTAACGAACCTAACATGTAACAAATTTATGATTGATTGAACTCATATACTGTCATACACAGTTGACATTATGAACGCGTGCCTATTGATCTTTATCGCCACTCCGATTTGAAAACGAGGCTTGGGATGCCTAAGGCGCAGGCTGTTAGAAAATGGCACACCTCTCGATGTCAACAAAGCAGGCAAGCAGGACAAACGGTGATGATGTCGCTGTCCCGAAATTATGTAATAATTGACGTTTATTAATGCTGTAACTTTAATGTCATTCCGTGGTAGCGTCAAAACAACTTACAGCATGACAGTAATTATATGGATAATGAAATATAGCTCGGGGTGTACTGTGTTTTGTAGGTTATCCCTGAAGTGAACTAACAATGTCGTGACCTGAACAAGCAGCCACATACATGTACATGAATGACATAATGTAAAACGTGACGTGATAGCCACCATCATATCACCTCACTAGTAGACAGATGAACATATCACGTAAACATCAGCTTTGGCGTTGTATATTGGACATTCTTTGCTACTACGCATCTGTCAACGACGATGTGATGAATTTATCAAGACATATAATTAAGAGGGGGACATCGCCCACGCCCCAAAACCAGACTTAGCACTTCATGACTCACTTAAAGCACTCACTACATGTATATATATATTGCATAGATAAATAAACACAGAATGCCGCTACAAAGTTCCAATTGTGAAAACTAAGAGAGCCCGTACATCCTTTATTCCAAGTACCATATCTCTCTTAAACAAATGTGAAGAAATCTAAATCAAAGAATTTATGTAAATATGTTTGGTATCTCTCTAATGTGTCAGTGGATCTGCTGATGTAACACAAATTCCTGAAAAGGCATTAAAGTATTATTCTATTCTATTCTATCTTTGGTGGTAAACGTCTTATATTCAATCTCGTATGACACATGGATAAACCGCAACTGCATATGAACGTCTGTATAATTTGGTTGGTTGGTTGTTTAACGCCACACTCAGCAATGTACCAGTTATATAGCGGCGGTCGGTAAAACATCGAGCTTTGAGCATCGATCTATACAGTTGGGGTACGATGACATGTGTCAACAATGTCAGCGAGCCTGACCACCCTTTCCCGTTAGTCGCCCTTTACGATATGCATGGGGCGCTGAAGATCAATTCTAACCCGGATCATCACGGGTGAACGTCTATATAACGCTCCTGAAAGAGAGGTTCACATATCTTGAGTATGTCAGAAACCTTTTATTGTGCGTTCGGTTTGCCCTATATATATATTTGTAGGTTTATCTGTACATTACACGTCCTCATAGACTGTACTGAAACATAACGGAAGTTCCCCACACTGAAATCTTCAATGTTAGGATTTCTAGCTCGTTGAAATATTCACATTGCTTATAATAATGATTTTTAGTATGGTGCATATACTTTGTTAAAACACAGGTTAGACAAAGAGCGTTGTTTATCAGGTAGTGCAGTAGAATTGGATTGGACCTCATAAAGTTTACGTGTATTGTATACACTTTATCAAAATAGACATTTTAAATATGTCTCAACGGCAAATTATTTGATACAAAGACCATAACATACGCATTCCCCATTACTTATTAAAGAGTGTAAAAACCCTTGTTGCTGTATGCTGCAGGGAAGCAAGGAGGCGATCATGGCGAGTACAGTATGGCGTCATAGACAGCGAACGGGGGAGACGTACTTCCACTAGATTGTTGTTATCACCCTGACTACAACAATAATATACTATTCCAAAAAAGAAACGCATAACCCAGAAATCTGTTGTATTTTCAAACATGTATAACTCGTCCACAAAAAGACTTTAGTACATGAAGTTTTACATCAGTTTAGAAGAAGGTAATGTCTATACAACCAAGTGAATACTTTTAGATAACGGAGACGTTAAGCGCGATGGTGACCACGTAGCATGGTCCCATCGTCGGGTCTCCTGGCTCTCAATCCAATCTCTCTCAATCTGTTCCGACCTGGCTGCTGGGCTCTCACCCAAGGCAGTACGATCACGCAAATATAGTACCCGGATGTAAAGATCTTGGGCTGCAGCGGTGACTCGATGTCAGCCTGTATAGGGGCAGGTATTTGTTACATCCGTTTGGTTGAAACGATCTGCAAGCATTGACATCGTGCTGGGGCTAACATTCAGACGCCTGGCAACAGAAAATTGGTAATATCCAGCGTGAATCTTTCAATGGCGATGTTCCGTGTCGCAGCGTCAAGACGTGGCGTAGTGGTTTGACCTTGAAACTCCTTCAAAACGAATGCCCATTTCCGAAAGTAATCTGGAGTTTTATAGCCAGACAGTGCATGCTCTTTGCTGCACAATTTCAACTGGAAGGTGATTTCTGTTACGTTGTGGCGATACTTTTTAAAATTCTTGTAAGAAATCTAATCAAAATCAACTTGAGTGTAAAATCATGTTATCAACAGTTTTGTTACATATTTGACGATTGTTTGAACACAAATGGTAATTGATAGATTTTAAAAAATACAAAACGCCTAAGCGTTTCTTTTTTGGGATAGTATACTTGGGAATGCACGGAGGAAAATATTTTTTTCATTTATACTATGTTTCGCCAAATGTTAGACGTTATTCTTAACTACGCGTGTCGCCTTTTGTAACACAGCCGTATACTACTCTGAGAAATTCGGGATCCTTCTAAACGCACGACTCCACATCATGGGACAGGTTTGGGAATGTTGATAGACCGACACATGTAGAGATATTTGATATTTAGATCGGAATTATCTTGGCCTCCAAAATATAGCGTGCCACTGATTCCGAATTATTGTCGCACAAAATTGCGCTTTTATATTATGAATATATGATTTATGATGCATGGTTTTGATAATGTGACTATCATCACTATGACCATAATCATACATGTCTGCTCTTGTTGTACATTCATAGCTGAGTGAGTGAGTGAGTGAATGAGTTTAGTTTTACGCCGCTATTAGCAATAGTACAGCAATATCACGGCTTGTGACTCCAGAAATGGGCCTCAACATTGTTCCATATGGGAAATTGGGTCTTCGGCCTGACGAGCGAACGCTTCAACCGCCTGCTACCCCACCGCCCCTCATAGCTGCTGTAACAGATAGCAATGATGCCTGTGACATATTACACAGATTCATGGTTGTATCAGGAACTGATCAGCATCGTTGGAGTCTATCCTGCAGGTAGATTTTCTGGGGGAAATATAAAAAGATACGGATGATTCAGTCTTTATCCAATACTACAAGACAAAATTAGATCTGCATCAATAATGGCGAAGAAGTATATTGTTATCATTCCACTTGTAACAGCAATAAGAATACATTTACCACATATAGCATTACAAAGCATACAACACTTCTATTTGGTCTGAGTCAGTAGATCTATCAATATATTATTCACCATTGTTCTCGCATCCGCATCCGTACTGTCTCTGGTCGTGATGTTAGATTTAGGAGTCAGTCGGTTTAAATACACATATTGTTTATGAATTTCCTACTTGAAACAAACCATTTTGGGGGATTTTCACACTCAGGCGTGTAAGACTTTATTGTGACATGGAAATATTGGTATTCAGTTTGTGAACAGACTTTGATTTGAACTGGAGAAAGAGTGTGTTAAAATGGTTGAAGAAATGCAACCAATCAGTTGCTGCTTGATTTGTACGAAATGCAAGACGAATGACATTTTCCAGAAAAAAACAGACAGCAATGCTCACTTGTTATTTCCCCTTAGTGCAGTGTTAAGAAGCGCAGAAGTTGGACAAACACCTCTAGTCATCGTTCTGGTACAGGTTCGACATACCACGCGTGTCAGACAGCGAGCTATAGGTATGCTGCAGTCAGGTACCTCGCAGTGTGACGTGGCTCGAGATTCAACGTCCATAGAGACACCATTGGGCACTTATAGTGGCGTTTTCAGCAAAACATTCCAATCATAGACCGCCCCTGCACTGACCGCCCATCAGTAACAACCCCACGATGGATTGGAAGCACGCACCTCCGATACACTTTCAAGCCAGCAGCCCTTACAGCAGCGGACCTGTACCTCAGAGAACAGTTCGGTGACGTCCACGCGTCCACGGCATCCGTGTTAGACGCCCAGCACGACGGCCGATTCTGACGCCAGAACATCGAGTCTCCTGATATCACCGGGGAGCACGCAAGTGGAGAAGAGAACTCTTTACAGATACGTCACGTTTCCTTCTTCACGTGTCTAGTTCTAAATGGGGGATCGTTTTGGAGGTTGTGTTAGGATCTGGGGTGAGATAACAGAGGCAGCAGGGACGCCAATGATTGCCATCAAGGGGCACTTGAATGCTGTGAGGTACCAAGAC